GGCGTCACCAGCCGCAGGTACTGGATGATCAGATACAGATGTGTATTAATCATATCCGTTGTATACAGTAATATTATTTGATAGAACTCAGGTTGTGTTGGTTTGTACTATATATACAGCCTCGCACCATCAACACCAATGGGACATACGCCAATACAGTGCTCACGCACACACACAACAGTATATGTAGATATCGATTCAAGCGTCTGGATGTGCAGATGGATATCATAGCTTCATAGACTGGGCGGTTTCCATACACTCTTTATATAGCATAATATTGGGCGACAAATGACCCTTTAAAGACCGCACACTATCCCCAGCATGGCGCTCAACAAATTCAATAGACATACACTTTGCGAACCACAACATAATTCGTGATGTGTGACTGGCACGAACAGGGGAGGGGGAGATGCATATACACTACACGCAATGCAAGCGTACACCAAGTGTACTATAGCCTGGCGTGGAAATGCGCACACACACGTGCGTAGTACGGGCGAAACAAAACAGTAGGAACGGGCCGCGAGAATTTCATAATGTGGGGCTTCCTACACACATGCAGTGCTACGCGCACACCTAAAGCCGGTGCAATCGGTATATCAGCCTCATGGTCGCAAGTCTCCGTATTCATTGGCTCTGGCACTAGCGCTTCGTCTTGGGGTGTCTGAGAGGATGTGCACTTGTTAATCAATACAATTTCAAAGTGATTTAGGATACATTGACTGTACATGTATATATGTAGGTATATCGCATGTTTCTCATGCATATCAAATCTGAGATGCTTAGCTGTACCAATGGGGACTTTATGTGGCGTATTGCGGGTTTAAAGTGGTTCAGACATGACATTTAGGTCGACTTTATCATATCTACACCACGCAGAGTAAATACAACTGCAAAACATACCCCGGAATTTCTCATTGCATGTCTACTTGCCCCTAAACAGCGTCACGAGCTAGTACGATCCGCGTGAGCAATTGTTAAATTCAAACAACCCCTTGCATATATGTGACAAACCGAAATACACATTCACGGCATAAATATATATAATATATATATATATATATATATATAATAAACACACACACACACACACAC